TTTTTTTGTCACAAACATACTTATTCATTTGGCTAAATAAATACATGATTTGTCTATGAATAATAAACATATTAGTCTAATATTTTATTATCTAATGATAGGAAAAAAAAATCTATACGAACTAAAATGCAAAAAGGTAAGATATTTAAGAGAATAATAATTATATTGTTATACCCTATTAGGTTTATTTTATTTTTAAACACAGTTTATCGTTCCACTATAAATTATATTTTACATTTGGCCACGGTCCTTAAATGCTAGTTAATAATAAACATATTGGTCTCATATTTTATTATCTAATGATTTTAACATGGCCAAAAGTTTAAATCTAGCTATATATGATCCATGTGAAACTGCATATCAGTTGTCCACCTCGATCCACTTTTGAGCCTACCCGAAAAAGAGACCTTTGTTAAGTAGCTTAGCTTGATCTATCTTCCTCTTTGCTCTATCAAATTATACCAATTCCATCTTTTGATAGATGTCACCAAAACAATGGCTTTAGCCTCCAAAATATTCAAAAAGTTGAGTACATGAAAGCTGATATATGACTTGCATCTAAAGGCTGCTCAATCTCTCTAACCATATTCTGAATTAAACCTTTCACATATCTCTTTTCTTGAGGATCTTTCCACAAAACCCTCAAAATTTCATGAGGTATAACTGGTGCTGGTCGAACCACCCACTTCATACCATCTATCTCCATACCATTCAAGCTGTTTAAAGAACATATAAAGGTCAAGACTTTACACTCGTTATTTCAGAAGAAAATGGATGCGCGATTTTTGGTTTAACTATATACCTGTTGAGAATGGTGAGCATATTTGGCCACTCAGAGACATCGAAATGCACATCAACAATACCCTTTCCTCTGCAAGTCACTTTTTTGATCTGTCCGTAAGGTACACACAGTGACCGTATGTCACATGCTGAGAAATTTGAAATCCTAGCAACTGTTGTCCTTGGTACATCAATCCTAGAGATAAACAATTGTTTGTTGAATATGCAGATTGAATGCTCTGCAAGTGCTCTGTCTTTGTCATCCTCTGTCTGCAACACAAGTAGAAGATTTTATATCTTCACTACAATTAATTTTGAGTATAAACCAGAAATGCTACAATAAAACTGCACCTTAAACTCCACAAAAGCAGCTGTTTTAGATGAGCCCATGATAAACTTAGATATGCCGCTCCTACAGAACCCTAGCGCTTGTTTGATCTGATTTGAAGTTATATCGCGCTCCAGCGGGTGAATCTTAACTGTTCGGGTTGGTTTCTTCACCAATGCAATGGGCACATCTGGATCGCCAATGAGACCTGGAATGCAAATACTTTCTACCATGTCTTCCTGAGAAGTTGCCTCAACAATTGCACGAAAATGCTTCACTGTCACAACAGCTTTCTTAAGAGCCTTCTTTACTGCCGAGTCAGTCTACAAATATGGAAGCAAAGAGACAGGTGAGCAGAAAAACACTCTTTTAAGTAGCCCGCTTAAACAAGAAGGCAATGTTACGCGTTTCACGAGATAGGAGAATTCGAAATTAAGAAAACTAACCTCAAAAGTCAAGAGAGCATCTTTGTAAATGCACCCCTTAAAAGAGGGAAGTTCTTGTACATCCAAAATGGCTCCAAACCCAGAAAAATATTCAACAATGTCGTTCTTCGTACATGTTTCTTCCAAAAACCTTAGTACTACTTTGTTAGGAGAGTGATTTCCAATAGATAATAAGTCCAAACTCTTTTCTGTTAACTTTGGATTCGCAGTGGTAGCAGCCAAGGTGGCCTGACTGCACAATGATTGGTTTTGCATTACTAAAGTTTCCCCTTTGGGTACTTCTTCCTCTGTCGCACAAAAACGGTCATTCTTATTCGTCACAGAACTTCCATTGGATATAGCTTTTCTTTCTCCACCATTAGGATTCCACGAGTTGGCATCTGCAACCGTGCCTTTGTCAGTTTGAAGGTTCAGGGAGTCCATCACCTTCCTGCTCAAGTCTTCACTCTTCTGATCATGACTCAAACCCCTAGGTAGAAAGGATGCCCAAGACTCCGGTTTTTGGAGAGCATCCGGAAACCTCTGTTTCTCATTTTCCTTGGAGATATTTTTAATTTTCTGGACAGGATTCCCCGCATCACTAGAAGAATTACTGTTTCTCAGTGCCTCAAATCTCATAGGAAGCTTAACCTCCTTTTCTGGATCCCGGTTTATAAACATGTTCGAGAGCTGCAACTTCCGCTGATTTTTCCCAGGTGATGCCAGACTTTCCAACAGTTGTGCAGTCGATAAACCTAGAGACACATCTTTAAAACTTGGTTCCTCAGGGGTTTCCACTCTTTCAGCTTGTACCAATCGCAACACTTTCTCCTGCGAAAACTCCGAGCCGCCTAAGCTATTATTATCTAACCTCTCTTTCTCTACAGATGTGCTTTCGCTCTTCCTAGAAATCTCACTTCCTGCAACATTTTGAGGTGCATCTTGAGATCCTATTTCAGAGACTGAAGTATCGTCTTTTACACTCGGTTCTGCAACATTCTGCAAACTGACCACCTTAGTAGCAGTCACATCTCCTGAGGAAACCATGGGTGATTTTGGCGAAACCGAGTCTTCACCCGAAGTTTTGTTGATGAAGAGCATGTTTCCAATAATCTTTTGCTTAAGATCAGTGAGAAAGCCTCCAAAAGAGTACCGATCCATTCCCTTTTTGCCAATATCTCTATACATCCAAGAGAAACAGCATATGAAAACATAAAAAGAAATGGAAAGAAAACCTAAAATGAGAATGGATCTAATAAGAAGATTTGTAGCTCTAACAAACCACAACACACAAAGGGCATGAGTTAACAGAGCCAATTAAAAACACATACTACACTCTAAGCAAAACTCCATATTCCAGATTTCGTTTCTAAGTAGCTTCATTGCTCTTCACGGATTAATCTAAACCCAGTATTCACTTTATTCTGATTGGTTTTTTGAAGATCCCATCAAATTACTCCAGAATAAAATCAACATGAGAAGAGAATAAGAAAACCAAGTGTACTCACTCGTTAGCGGAGGCCTTAGAATCCGACAATGTCTCTAATTTCCGGCCATCTTCCGGTGAAAAAGAAGAAACCCACCTCCTCGTCAAAGGTACGAAACCTATAAAACAGAAAATTTCCGTTTCCAGAATCATCAGTATCGATTGAACCCAGCTTGAAAGAAGCATAAATTGAAATCATTTAATTTGATTCAGGAAAAGGGTATTTGTGTTATCACCTCTGCTGCTGAAATGGTGATTTAGTTTGGGTGAAAGAAGACGCCCAATCGCCATTTCAGAGATAGTTTCCTAAATGGCTGAGCAAAAGAAAGGGTTTTTAAGGTTTAAGGATAGTCGGAGGGAGAAGCACCGGAGAGAGACAAAAAGGAACCTGGTTTGTTTAATTTATCGAGCGTATTTCGGTTTAGTAATTAACCGATTGGTTCTATGCAGTACGTGTTTCATTCAATTCAAAGGATCTTAATCTAAAAGACCCTAAACCTTAAAAAAAAATTCACACCATCCTTCCCTATTCTAAAACACCCCAACAATTTATCTTCCCCACTTTTACCCCTCCAATTTAATTTTTCTTTAAATTTGAGATTTCCTTTTAATTCTTTTATTGCAGACATAAATTATTGTGGACCCAGGATCCCTAAATTCTTCAACAACCAAAAAAATTACCCTATCTAAAGCTTCCACATGTAATTCAATCCAACCACCTTCCTCGTTTTGTTTATTCTCCCAAACCCAGAAACATAAAAACGAAATCGAAAACAGAGCAACAGCTTCTTCCTCGTGTGCTCTTCGTCTTGTCATCATCTGAAGTTTGTCTTATCATCTTCTTCCTCGTTGTCCTTCTTCATCTAGTCAAAGTCATCCCGTCCCGATCTGTTGTCTTTCAGAATTAAGGTTAGATACTTTCGTTTTTATGAACTTTCGTGTGTAGGGTTAGATTGAGTTTGAAAAACAAGTRAATCATTGTAAAAAATTTCGAAATCAAAGGATTTACCGAAACTGCAGGAAATTGCAGAGGTATAACTGGTA